CAGAGAGTGTGAACATACATGCTTTGCCCATTTTATTTTATTTTAGGTACTGAGAATTGAACTCAAGACCTTGTGCTTTCCAGGCAGGTACTTGTGCTACTGAACTATATCCCCAGCCTCATGCCCATTTAAATTTTTTTTTAATCTTTTATTTATATATTCACTACAGGGCCTTACTTGGACTCTTAGTGATCCTCCTGACTCAGCCTCCCCAGTGCAGGGAACACAAGTGTGTACCACCCCCCCCCCCAGTTTCAGTGGCCCAAACAGCACACCGATTCTGGGGCTGGCACAGCACACAGTACTGGGGATTGAACCCAGGTCCTTGTGCTTGCCAGGCAGGTGCTTAGATTGCCGAGCTATTAATTTGAGACAAGGTCTCACTGTGCTTTCAACTGGAATTGTCAATGTCAATCCTCTTGCCTCAGCCTCATAAGTAGCTTGGACTGTACATGTGTGTCACTGTGCCCAACTTTTCAAGGTATTGTTTTTGCTTTATGGCAGTGGGCGTCGACCCAGGGCCTTTGCATGCAGCCCCAACCCCAGCCCTCCCCCCATTTTTTTTTTTTTAATGTATTTGGTACAAGATCTCACCACGTAGCTTGGACTCAGTGATCCTCCTGTCTTAGCCTCCCCAGTGCTAGGATTACAGGCGTGAACCACCATGCCGGGTTCCACGGCTGGCACGGCATGCGGTACCAGGGATTGAACTTGGGACCTTGCATTTGCCAGGCAGGCATTTATGCTGCTGAGCTATCTCCCCAGCCCCTAGCCCCTTTTTAAAAACACTTTCTTTTTTTTATGTTGAGATTATATCTTGCTAAGTTGTCCAGGCTGAACTTCTGACCTTCCAGCCTCTGAGTTCTGGGGTTACAGGCATGTGACACCATACCCAACTATATTCACCTTCTTGTGACTCAGTAATATTCAGCGTTCTGTGGATGAAGCAGATTTTGTTGATCCATTCATCAGCCTGTGAGCGTTTAGACCATTGCCCTTTTGCAGAGCTAGGAAAGATGCTGTGCTGAACATTTGCACACAAGTTTCTGCATGGACGGATGTTCCGTTCTCTGGGGGGCTTTCATGCTTAATCATACGCCGTGAGATGCAGTATTGTGTCTCTGAGGTGTGACCCATGCTAAGTGCTCATTAGCAGTAAGTATGTGTGAGGTAGAAAGTTCTGCTCAGCCCAGGATGCTGCACTGTAGTTATTAAGACTTTACAAAGCATTAGGCAAAGTTCCGCTTAGTCCCAAGGCGTGGGGCCCCGATATGCCCAGATACATCGCTCAGGCAAAAGGACCCCTGGACAAGACCCCTTGTTCTTTGCAGGTCTGGTCATACATACATGGTAGTTCAGCAGAGAGGGACAAGAGGAGGAGCCAGGCCGGGCATGGTGGCACAGGCCTGTTATTCCAGTGCTCGTGAGGCTGAAGCAGGAGGATCAACACAAGTTCAAGGCCAGCCCAGGCTATATAGTGAGTGCAAAGCCAGGCTGAATTGCACAGTGGGACTCTGTCTCCTAAATAAATGAAGAAATGAATGAGTCAGGAGTCAGGAGTCCTGGCCTGGCCCATCTAAGCTGCTAATTTGCATGTGATGTCCAGGGCCTCAGTTGTCCAGGGTGGCAGACAGTGCTGGCCCTTTCCTGTGGGTCACCTGGCTTTTCTTCCATTCCCCAGGCGTGGCTCCTCCAATGATTCTGTGAGAGCTGAGGCATCACCACCGCCCGGGGTGGGGTCCTGTCCTGGAGTGGCCGCCTGCCGCCCCCAGCATGGCATCGGACACCCCTGAGTCCCTAATGACGCTCTGCACTGACTTCTGCCTGCGCAATCTGGATGGTACCCTGGGGTATCTGCTGGACAAGGAGAGCCTGCGGCTACATCCAGACATCTTCCTTCCCAGCGAGATCTGTGACCGGCTGGTCAATGAGTGAGCGGCCCCTGGGACAGGTGGGGCGGGGGCGGAGCATGAGTGCGCACCGCACCGGCGCGTTGGCCGTGAGGGCGACTGCGCAAGGAGTGCGCGTGCACCCGACGCCCGTGGGTGCCAGAGGTGGTGCGTTCACACCATGGAAGTGTTTGTGTGTGCTGGGAGGTATGTACTAGAGCGCACATGTGCAAGAACAGAGATGTATTACACAAGTCTTCTGCAGCATGGGGGCATGTGCATGTGACAGTGTAAACCTCTGTATGTGCACTTTCTTAACATCCCAGCACTCAGGGAGGCTGAAGCGGGACTGCTGTGAGTTTGAGGCCAGCCTGGGTTCCACAGAGTTCAAGCCCAGCCTGAACTACCTAGCAAAACGCTCTCACAAAAAAAGAAAAGAAAAAAAAAAGAGGAAAGAAAGGAAAATGAGGCCCCTGTACCACCAGGTTTCCCCAAGGGCTACCTTTAGATCCTGGTCCTTGGGTATCCTTAATGCTGCCTAATCTATAGTCAGGCCCCAGTCAAGTTCTGGGAGGAGGAGGAAAAAGGGGAGGAGGCTGCTGCGTATGATTCCGCCAGGCCTCAGGGAGGGAAGCCTTGTGTTCTGAGGGACCCAGGGTCCCAGGCATGTGCTGAGCAGGCGTGCATCTCTTCTAGGTACGTGGAGCTGGTCAATGCCGCCTGCACCTTCGAGCCCCACGAGAGCTTCTTCAGCCTCTTCTCAGATCCACGCAGTACGCGCCTCACCCGCATCCACTTGCGTGAGGACCTAGTGCAGGACCAGGACCTGGAGGCCATCCACAAGCAGGTGAGGCCGCCTCGTTGTGGTGCTGGGCATGGCAGGTGGGGCAGGGCTCATGGGTAGGGCACGGTGACACTGATGGGGCTGCGTCCTCAGGACCTGGTGGAGCTGTACCTGACCAACTGTGAGAAGCTGTCCGCCAAGAGCCTCCAGACACTTCGCAGTTTCAGCCACACCCTGGTGTCCCTGAGCCTCTTCGGCTGTGCCAACATCTTCTACGAGGAAGAAAACCCGGGGGGCTGTGAGGACGAGTGCCTGGTGAACCCCACTTGCCAGGTGCTGGTAAAGGACTTCACTTTTGAAGGCTTCAGCCGCCTGCGCTTCCTCAACCTGGGCCGCATGATTGATGGGGTCCCCGTGGAGTCACTACTGCGGCCCCTCAGCTCTCTAGCCGCCCTGGACCTCTCAGGCATCCAGACAAGCGATGCCGCCTTCCTGACACAGTGGAAGGACAGCCTGGTGTCCCTTGTGCTCTACAACATGGACCTGTCGGATGACCACATCCGGGTCATTGTCCAGCTGCACAAGCTGCGGTAAGCAGAGTGGTCAGGCAGCAAGAACGGGAGGGCAGGGCCAGGCTAGGATGGAAGTGGGAGCTAGTCCATTATTAGGACCCAGTAGGGTGCCTGCCAGTGGGGCTCCTGAGTGCCCTGGCTCCCGCCTGTGTGGCAGGAGTGAGGTCCTGACCTGCAGCCCCTGCCCAGGCACCTGGACATTTCCCGCGACCGCCTCTCCAGCTACTACAAGTTCAAGCTCACTCGCAAGGTGTTGAGCCTCTTCGTACAGAAGCTGGGGAACCTCATGTCCCTGGATATCTCTGGCCACATGATCCTGGAGAACTGCAGCATCTCCAAGATGGATGAGGAGGCCGGCCAGACCAGGTAGGCACTGGGCCGGGGCTGCTGCCACCTCGCAGAGGACCTGTGTGCCAACCCTACCAGGGCCCACTGCCACCACTGAGGAAGCGAGACAAGACCTGCCTCCTGGGTCTTCTTAGGTCGGAAGGGTCAGGATCAGGTAGCCCTGAGCATCAGGAGGGAGAGGGAGGAGCAGTAGCCGCCAGCTGGCCCTGGAAGCTCCTCCTCCCAAGTTTGCCAAAGGCCTGGGGACTCAGCACCAGGACAGTGTGTGAGTGGAGCTGTCTATTCTGCAAGATCACAGTGTGACGAGATGACACTGGCCAGGGGTGGTGCACACCTGTGACCCCAGAACTTTGGGAAGCTGTGGCAGGAAGGTGGGAAGTGAGCTAGGCTGGCAACCTGGGGATTTATAAGTGTCTGTCTCCACATAAAGAATCAAAAGGGCTGGGGATGGAGCTCAGTGTGAAGGTGAAGGCCCTGAGTTCGGTCCCAAGGAGAGAGACAGAACAGCCAGTATCTGCTGATCGGGGCCGCTGCTGCACATAGGTTAGGGCCCAGGTAGGTGGCTGGCTGTCCTGGGTCAGAACAGACTCCTGCTGCTGCACGGATGAGTTTGTCCCTTGGTGACCGCTGAAACCCAAAGGTGCCATGTCCTCAGTACAGCAGCCATTGGTACTTTCCACGAGGACGGAAGCAATCCCTCCTTTGCCATGTGGTTGCTGCAGAGGTGGGGTCTTTGTTCCCCACCCTCAAAGGAAAAGAGGAGGCTGGAGGGCCTAGGAAGGAGCATCAGGTCACTGGGGCGTCACCCCCTACGCCCCCAAACCACTGATCCCAGCACGTCTTCCCCCAGCATCGAGCCCTCAAAGAGCAGCATCACGCCGTTCCGGGCGCTGAAGCGGCCCCTGCAGTTCCTCGGGCTTTTTGAGACCTCACTGTGCCGCCTCAAGCACATTCCAGCCTACAAAGTGAGCGTTGTGGGGGGAGGTGGCAGGAGGGGCCTGCAGAGGGACAAGGGAGCCCCTGGGGCCGCAGGCCAAGCTAAGAGCTGGGAATGCCACCCTTGTCCCTGGCCCCAGGTGAGTGGTGACAAAAACGAAGAGCAGGTGCTGAACGCCATCGAGGCCTACACAGAGCACCGACCTGAGATCACGTCGCGGGCCATCAACCTGCTCTTTGATATTGCACGCATTGAGCGCTGTAACCAGTTCCTGCGGGCCCTGAAGGTCAGTGCCCATGGCAGGGTGCTGGGCTCAGCCAAACTGCCCGAGCCCTGTCCCTCCCCACCCCAGAGAAGACCCGCGCCTCCTCATCTCCAGTGCTAACTCCAGCCCTGCCTGCCACACCCGGCCTGCTTCTGCACAGCCTTGTGCAGGGTACAGTCCTGCCCGGGTCCCCTCCGATCCCTCCTGTCCACCCTGGTTCCCAGCATCAGTGTTCTCGTGGCCCTAGAGGAGCTGCCCATGCCCCTCCTACAGGCCAGGCCTGTCCCACTCAGCTCTCAAGCCACTTGTCACCCTCTCCACACAGCTGGTCATCACAGCTCTCAAGTGCCACAAGTATGACAAGAACATCCAAGTGACAGGGAGCGCCGCCCTCTTCTACCTGACCAACTCCGAGTACAGATCTGAGCAGAGCGTCAGGCTGCGCCGCCAGATCATCCAGGTGGTGCTGAACGGCATGGAGTCCTACCAGGAGGTGACGGTGAGCCCCCACCCACAGCCTCTCCCAGCCCCCCCAGGGATTCCTGCCTCCTTCCGCCTCTTCCCCAGCCACTCACCCTAGCCAGCACACATGGGTTCTCTGACCTGGCACCCAGGGTCCCCAAAAAACAACCCTACTGTAGCTAGGGATTTAACACCATGGTACATCACCTGCCTGGCAAGTGTGAGGTCCTGAGTTCAGTCCCTGGTATAAAAAAAAAATTAAAAAAAAAAAACAAACAGCTTTCTAATTACAAAGATAATAGACCTGGGCCGGGGATGTGGCTCGGTGGCACAGTGCCTGCCTAGCAAGCGCGAGGCCCCGAGTTCGATTCCCGGTACCAAAAAAGAAAATAGTGAAAATAAGACCAAAAAAAGTTTCTTTGGAAAAAAAAAAAAAAAGATAATAGACCTAATAGTTTAAAAAATAGCTCAGCAGATAAAAGTTCCTGCAAGCAGGCACAGGGGCCTGTGGTGGCTCACACCTGTAATCCCATCTCTTGGGAGGCTGTAAACAGGTAGATCACTATGAGTCCGATCTAGTAGTAAGACCCTGAACACCCAGTAGACCTTTCCCTAAAATAAAAAATAAAAATAAAACTGCTTGGAGGAGCTCAGGAATGAATTGCTGGGGCCGGGAAGATAGCTCAGTAGAATAAGTAATTGCTTGGCAAGTGCAAGGCCCTGAGTTCAATCCTCAGTTATGGAAAAAAAAAAATTAAAAATTAGGGCTGGTGAGATGGCTCAGTGGTCTAAAGCACCTACTTAGAACAAGCAAAGCTAAGCAGGGACCGCAGTTCAATCCCCCAGCACCACATGCCAGCCCGCCCCGCCCCCTGGTGGGCTGAGCTGGCCGCACGCACAAAATAAATAAATAAATAAATAAATAAATAAATAAATAAATA